CAGCAGGAAAAAATAGGGCAACTTCTGCCTAGTAACTTTAGGTATGTGTTATAACTCTGAAGCTGTACACTCTAACATGTACAAATACCCGTAAATGTGTATTTTACACTAATGCAAATGGCTGGAGGAGGCCAAATGACTCAAAATGTTAGAGGCAACAGTTGTCCTTGAAAACATGACTCAGGACTAAATGCAGAAAGCAGTACAGGTTGAACCTTGTACTAAGTATGTGGGGCTGGTCTTCGCCCTTCCTTAACGTACTGCTCCACGAGATTAGCCCAAGTGCTGTGCACCAGCTGGGCTCTGCCACCTTCCCTCGCAGCAATAACTGAGTCAATGCCAGGGAATCTAAGGAAAGGTGGCAATGCAACTAGTGATGCAGTCTCTTATCTCCTCCTTCAGAGTTCAATATAACTGTGGTCTAAGACTGGTATAGAGTAACCTCTACAAAAACTAACTGCAATCTAAAAGATTTCAGCCACCTTTTGATTATACAATTGTAATAACTGTTTGATTTTGTGGCTGTTGTACTTACTTGTCTCTGCAAATAGCAACATGAAATTCTTTCTCCTCCTCTCCCCAGTCGCCTATCTGATAATCAATTCATTAAGGAGGGTGAAGACTTTTACATACTGCCACATGGCTTCAGTAAGGACCCTCTCTCCTCAGAAAAATACGGAGAGGTTTTCGTATCACAGTTGTTCAGGTTCCTTAGCCAGCTTAAAAGAATCTTGAAGTGGTGGTTATTCTGTGTCACCTTTTTATAAACATCTGTTCTTAACTCACCTGCAGATTTACATAGGGGTCCCCAGGATGTCCTGTGTGTAGCAATGGTTTCACCAGTCTTCAGGGATCGAACACCATGGCATCTCTGCAACAATCAATTCAAACTCCAATAAGGCATATGGCTGACTAATTAATAATACAGAGCCTTTTTGATGACTATCTAAAACCCCTATGTTATTCTGACTCTTGGGGGTTCTCTTTCTTAATATTATGCTTCGTTGCATTGAAATGATCACCCCATGGAAGTTCAAAAGGAATGGCGTTAGGGAAATACCAGTTCATAATCTGTAGTCACACTGAAAAACATTTATGTGAACAGACATTTCACATAGACAATCTCTATCTTTTCATTACTTTTCTGTTTGTTTTAAGGAATACCTATGGGAGTTGTGCACAGTACTTGTTCTCTCCATATGATATATTTATCTCAATCTAACATAAATTTTGCATAAGAGAAAGAACAGTATACTTCCTTTTATTTAAATGAGTATTGTCTCCAAAAGAAGAGGGCCTAGTTGATCACCTCTGCTGTGCCATGTCAATTCCTGGCATCAGTCCCAACCTCCAGGCCTCATATTCAGCTCGTTTACAGCCAGCTATCAGAATTACACCATCGCTAACCCCTGTAATTCAGATGAGATCCAGCTCATCAGCTGGCCATGCACCATACTGACATGGCTATATTAGCCCAAATCCACACAGCTAGAGGTCTGGGTCTGCTCCAACAGCAAACACAGCAGCTCTTAGCAAAGCTCTTAGCAGCACTGCAGTCCCTGTCCTCCCTGTCCCTGTTCTCCCCTACCTGGCTCTTCTCACCACGTCCCTCCCTGGCTGCGGGCGACACTGCCTGGGCACTGATGGAGGGAACCAACTCCTCCAGAGGAGACCATGAGCTGGTGTTTGCTGAAGCACTGGTTTTTAATGTGCAAAATCAGCTGTGAAACCTGGAGCCTTCTTTGCATCTGCCAATCACATTTCCTGTTCCTACTTCTTCTCCTCTGGAGGAAGCTTTGCTTTTTGAGATAGGAAACAAGCATCTTCTCTTTGTAGTCTTTTAGGAAAAGGTCATTTGCTTTACAATGAGCTGAAATTGAGTTATTTAGAGCTAGAGGAAAGTGTAAAACAATGGAGGAACACTAAATTATTAAAGAAAACATCCTTGACAGAAAAAAAATAAAAAGACAAAGGGACGATTGGCAGAGGGAGGAGAGAATTCCTGTGTCCTGACTAAAAAGCAAAAAAGCCATCAGTGAAAGCTAATCTTTCTTATTACTATTGAAGAAACACATTCTTAGATGGAACCATGTATCATATACTTATAATTTAAAAGAAACAAACCATTGGTTTGGAACACAATTAGACAGAACATTACTTGTCTTGTTACTTTAGAAAGCCCTTTTAAGCTGTACTGGATTCACAGCCCTAGAAACTTAATGCCATCCTTTCTATCCTTGCACCTAAACTCTGACCTGGAGAAGTAAATATCTAGGTTGAAAAAAAAAAAAAAAAAGAGGGCAGAAAGACATCCCAAGTGAATTTAATCAGACTTTTTACTGAAACTGCTCCTGAAACTTTTATATGAAACTGCTATCTGCTAAAAGAACCACTGACACATATCTGAACAGCCTATCTCATTTTAAAGTCTATTCATTATCTTCTAGACACCCATAAAGCAGAAGTGAAAGGTTCAGTTCTCAAGTTTCTTAATTTGGATAACACTTTCCCTGTAAGCTCCATAACTAGGGGGATGGGGAACAGAAAGAAAAAGGTGGGCACTTCCATGTGGCATTAGTTCTTTCCTACTCCTCTCTGCCCTCAGCAGAACATGAAGGAAAATTTCAAGTGTTATCTTATAGTCAGTTATAGCCTGTCAATGGCATAGAGGACCTGTGAGACACAACAGACAAAAAATGGAGTATAAGAGCAAAACTCTTACCATCCTGCAGGTACTTTCTGGTGTCTCCATACAAATACGAACTTTGCAGTGCAGATAAACCACAGAATTGTTAACGAAAGAAAAAATTTTCATCTTAAACTGTGCTTTACTTGAATTCCCGTTCTCTAGCAGTGTAGTGTACGTGTTTGGGATGGGACAGCTGTAAAGGAAGAAGAAAAAACATACATGGTATGTAGGGCTATAAAAGGTATGTTTTGTCAACAGTACATGATAACTCACATTGTGAACCTTTGTTAGAAAGTCATAGCCAGATGCTCTATAAAACAACTCTGCAGCAGGCATAGCTGTGATGAAGGATTATTTGTTGCTTTACTGATGCAGTAACGAAACAGAATAGACCATTCAAGAATTGTCTGAAGGAATGGAAAGAAGGAAGACAGAAACAGGGAGAAGAATTTAAACTTGACTTCAGCAAACACAGAGAGTGAACCTAACAATACACTAGAAGGAACAGCCTGTGTTACTGAAATAAAGGACTACTGTGTATTTTAACATAAGCCAACAGAAGAAGACATAGGAGTGAGGCCAGGGATGAACATCATCTCCTGTCAGAGTGCGCTGAATATTGTTTGAGGTCACACCATATAGGAATCACCCAACCTAGGATGTCAGTGAGGTATCATATAGGGCCTTGTTAATATCTGAACCATAGACAAATGGGCAAATGGGTACATTTCAAATGTACTTACACTACCAAGTACCAAAAATACTTATTTCTTTAGATAAAAAGTACAATTCCTTTAAAAACTACATGGGAATCAACTAGGCTCAAACAATCATCATATTCCACTTTGAAAACATTTTCTTTTTATACCTACTGCCCCAGTTCGACGAAGGTGTGACCTATCAGAATGGTAAAAGACTGTGCATATGAACAAAGAGAACACACATAAAAGGCATTTAAAAGATAACACAGTAGTGGTTAGTACCACTGGCATATCCAAGGTATGGCACTTACTATTTGCAATTAGCGTTTGCTGTACCTGTTGTTTATAAAAGTGAATGAGAAAGGATCCACTGAATTATTAGTAGGAGTTGCCCAGCAGTCAGTGAGCACCACCTTGAGCTTGGTGTTCTCTCTTTGGATGCCCACTTCAATCAGTACATCGTCACTGGCAGAGACACTGAAATTTTTAGGTATTGGGGAGTTTCCAATGAATAACTGCATTTCTGTTCTGAAGCGTCCAGATCCATGCAAATCCTCAAAAATGGTGTAAATTCTGAAACAACAATTCACCTCTTTAAGGACCACAGGTCTGACTGTTTTAGACATAAATACAATGATTATTTCTCCACCTCTCACACACATAACAGGGAGGAGCTATGTTCAGTCCAGGATGTTAAGAGGATTTTCAAGAGAAAGGGGTGAAAACACATCAAGTTTTCAGGCGGGGAGTTAGAAAGTGAGCAGGAACAAGACTGAGCTGTCTTGAAGTTGAAAGCAATGAGAGCAAAAGCCAGGAAGAAACAGTCTGAACAAGAACAACAACAAAAAAATGAGGCTGAGGAAGAAATCATATCCTACTGACAGAAAAAAGATACAAGGCTGACAGCAATTTTGCTTGTAAAGGATGGTACAGCATTTGGAGAGACTGAGGGGTCAGCAGGTGGATTTGATGATAGTTAAAGTGAGGTGCAAGGGAAGAGAGAGGAGGTGCAGCTGTGCCGAAGGAGATCAGTCACTGTCAGGTGAAAGTCTGCTGTAGTCTATTCTGTAGCCATAAATGGAGGTTTTTGCTCCATCTTGTTAGAAGATGCAGTCTTTCAAAAACAATATTTGCATTACATATATTTTTTTTTCCTAAGCAAATAAGAATTTGTAAGAACTTAGAAATTCACATCCTCGCACCAAGCCTAGCAACCACATAGCAGTCTGCATACCTAAAGCAGTGGAAAAGATAAAACACAGTTACGTTTCAAAAGCAGGTAAATGTTATTATTGCTAATTGCATGTGATTGTCCCGGGAGACAAAGAGAGGTCAGGAGTTCTGGCTCTCAAATCAGTACCAGTAGTTCCTAAAGGTTAATTTTAATTGTTTTAACCAAGCAACAGACAAGTTTTTTGACTGTTGGGTCTGCTGGCACATGGGATTGAGTAGCAGAACATCCGCTATTTAAGAGGGATACTCTGAGAGTCAGATTCATGGCTGTCAGGCTATTTAGGGTAGCAAACACTGTCACTGTCACAGCTATGACCACTGGGGATTTTCCCCATGCAGCAGTGTTGACACAACAACATTCCCAGAGTTCTTCCTTACCCTTCTGCGATGTATCCAGATGAAGCCAAGAGATCATTCTGAAACACACAGTGAATCGGACTGGCAACTTTTAAGTGGTGGACTACTCCCTGAGCAGAAATGTCATTCCGAAGCACTGTTTTCGCTACAGTATTAGTCACATTCTGGAGCACAGAAAGAAGAAAGTAAAACCTGTCAACATCAGTGTTTCTAGGGATATAGCAGACCTGCAAACCCACCAGCTTCAAGTATTTAGGAATTTTCTGTTCCCCTGAGTGCAAAAAAATCAAGCAGGTTAAACCTCTACCATCCTTGTTGCTATAGAGCTAGAAAATAAAAATCCTTCCTGGTAGAGTCTACAATGGTAATTATTCCACATGGGAATTTCTGTACTTTAGCATAGCGTAAGCCTTGTGTTGGATCGGGGGTTGAAAATTTTAAGGATATGACGCTCCTTAAACCAAGACAGTCCCTCTCATGGCCCACACCACTATACAGTAAAAACTGGGCTATATGTTTTAATATTATATTGAAATTGCTTTTAAGAGAAGCCTCTGAAATCTCTGACAGCTACAAAAAAAAAAATTACAAAGAAGCATGGGAAGTGAGTGTCAATCAGGAGAGGCTGCTGAGTTTTGCTGCCTGAACCCAAATACTCTTCTCTTTCCTGCTTGCCCCCTTCTTCCACTTGCGAGAAGGGGTTGTCCTTGTCTAAAGAAAAAATTTGGAAACATTTCAGCAGCTAAAAGGTGTATTCCTGGGCTAGGATGTACTGTTTCATCCCACAGAGCCAGCAAAATGCTCTGGGACTTCTTCACGTGCGCTGGCTCAGAGGACTCACCGTCTGGACCTCGATGCCGCAGTCGCCCCAGGCTGCCTGCAGCACAACGTGAGTGCCGTTGCTGACGCTCACATTGCAGCGAGGCTCCCCCAGGTACAGGGAGGATTCAGGGATAGACTCCTGCTGTAAAAATCTCTTCTGGATGGTAAGGATTATCTTCTCGATTTCACAGGACACCCTCACTGCATCTTTAATGGAAACCTCCCGGGCAGGTTTAACAAGGGGCACAGGAGATGTTTCAGTAAAAAAGTCATTAGTTGACATTGGATCTGTGGTGTAAGGAGGCAGCACCACACTGGAGAGGGTGATGTTGTCCAGAGCCTTATGCCTCGTAGTGGAGTCCAATGCAGCAGGGGATGAAACATGAGCCAAAGTCTCTGGAGATGGCACAGGTAAAACCATGTTGTGTACAGGTTTCTTATCTATCACTGTTGCTTCCTGGAGGACAGGAAGGGCTGAAGAACACAAAAAATAAAGGCACTATTTTAATTTACAGATCCAAGCTGATTTCATTTGATAAAAGCAAACCCTTATAAAGACACTCACAGTTACTGGCAGGAAACTAGTTTCTTTTTAAAAAACAAAACAAAAACAAATTAAACAAACAAAAAAATCTCTTCTTACTGCCAAAGTTGTGGCTTTTTCTTAATACATAAAGATCCCATGAGAAAAGCTGAAATGCTTCATTTCCTGAAAGCTACAATAATTTGTGTGCTCAAGCGGACAGGTTTATAGCTTTTGGAAGATCAGCAAGAGATCACCAATCATAAGGTGCTCGACAATGTTCAGACTTTTTTGGTGAATACTGTGGAGGGGACTTAACACTTCTAGTTTGGGAGTCTAAATAGGAGCAGAGCTCAGCAAAAAAAAAATGGCTCCATTTGTGCATAGTGGGTACGCAGAAATTATGACCCACTTTGGAAAACTTTTTTTTGAGGAAATGAAAAACAAACCTTCTGCAGCAGAAGCTTTAATGACTACAGGAAGAAAGCAAAAGGGGGAAAGGCAGAAGCAGGGACTGATATTAATGTTCATGTGAAACACTCCACTTCCAGCATGGGCCCCATGCATGGCGCTCTAGTACTGGACTGAATCAACGTAATGAATTCAACATAGCAAATTCCTGTGGAAGTGAAACAGGACATGTCTCATTGTGCAAAAATTGTCTACAACATTTTTACTAGAGTATACATATAAATAACATGTATTTCCCAAGCCACACACATAAAATATGTCCTTCTGGAACTCCCCTTTTTGGAATGCTCTACATTGGAAAGTTGCTGATTTGGAAATAAGTCAGGGAAAAAAAATCTGAGCTCTTTAAAAGCTGACTTTCCTAAAAGCTCCTTATCGAATGCTAAATACTTGTTTAAACAAAACGAATGGTTGGTATCAGTTTACAAATCCTTGTTACTTCAGCCAACATGTAGCTTATCACTGTGGTTACAAAAACAAATACGAATTACTGAAGAAGCTTGAAATAACTTCAAGATTCATCATAAGTTAGCTAAGAAATTATTTGAAGAAAGACAGAGGGAGCTGGATGAATTGACTGATACAAAAAATCACCCGAACATTTCATCTCTGTTGCAACAGAGAAGCAAAACTACCTACTCTGTGCTTTCAGTTACTTTCTCCATTATCGCTGCTGCCTCCTTTACTACTGCTAGAGAAAATAACTCAAATTCCTCATAACCCTATCTACTTTTCATTGCAAATAAAAGAAAACAGAACTGTTCAAAGAACATTAGAAAGATTCCATTAAATATTTATATAATAGACTGGAGTATTACAATTAGAAATTCTTTAAGTCTGATGCTAGACATTTCCAATAAAGCTGAAGTTGAATACAACCAACCAAATTAATCCCTGGCAAAATTTCAAGGCTTGTGGCAGGTGTGACCTAATGACCCAATAAATATCAGACATTTCAGTCAGCCATCAGATAATTTTTTTTTAAAAAAAACTTGCCTTCACAGTTTCTTCCAGGCTTTTCTGGATGCACATCAGCAAATCCTTCATTGCAGCTACACTCATAAAACCCAAGTGTGTTATGACATGACGCATCTGGGGAGCAGTCATCTTCTTCCCTGGTGCATTCATCATAATCTGTATATTTAAGCAAATGGCAAAGGAGAAAAGTGTATAATTGAAAAAGTGATGGCTACGAAACTTGAGCATGATGGCATCATCAGCATATCATTACACTTTGCCTGTGAAATTCCAAGACAGCAGACACACAGCCTAGAGGACTATTGCATGTGACTAACAAAAGTCCTTCAGTGGCAACACTGTCACTTACGATGCTCAGCAGGTGCTCCACCTAACTGCAGGCACCCCAATCCTACACCCCTAAACTGATCAACAGCCAAAGGGAACACTTAGAAACCAGGGGATTCCTCAACTTTCCCCATCCCACTGACATGAAGAGATGTTTAACAACACAACCCTGTGCCACGTGCTGTAGGTGACCCTGCGTGTGCAGGAGGGTTGGACTAGATGATCTCCAAAGGTCCTTCCAACCCTAATCATTCTCTGATTTCGTGTGATTCCGTGAAATTAATGAAACAGTCTGAAAAGCAGAAGGTTCATATGACTGATCCAAGTTTGCCTCTAGCTGCTTTCTTCATTTTTATTCTGACCAAAATTTTCATTTTTGGAAAGGAAGATAGGCATAACTTCCCTTTCTCTTCCCAAAGCTAATCATAATTGTGCAGATATGAACATACCACCACAGGTGGGACTAAGAAAACAGCCCTAAATCCAGCTCTGTGGGAAATTGTCCCTAAAACAAACCATTTGTTTTAGTGCAGGCAAGCACTGTACAAGGTAATCCTGGTCTTACTAATTAAAGAGTAGGTAGTGATGACAAAGCGTCACCACTTGGCCTAAATACAGCAAGGCAAAAGACTTACAGAAATTGAGTGATCATGCCTATATATATCAGAGATTCAAAAAGAGCACATGCATGACCTGTAGTAAGCAGTAAAACTACAGACTTGGTAATTCTTATATTTAGGGCAAATACACAATGAATACATCTCTATTCAGCTACAATGTGTCTGATTCTGGCCTTTAGGGAACAATAGCTTGCTGGATATTAGACCTCATAAATACTACATAATCCCCCAACAACGGCAGCAACCTTTTAGAGACATAGCTATAAGGGTAACAGGCAGACAGAATGTATAGAACAGAGTAAATATATGCTTCTGATGTCACTTTGTCCACAATTTTAACTGACAGCTTATAACAATAGCCTTTGGACAAACTTATGTTGAGGATATAGATTTGCAATTTTTCTTCTAGAGATGGCATCAATTTGTGAGACAGGATTCAGCAGCGCTTAGTCAGGAGACTAATGTTTCCTCTTACCATCTTAAATTACATATAAGGAAGAAGAAATTATACAATCACCCATTGTGCTGGTCTTGGTAAACTGTGGATTTCCATCTGAGTTCCCAGCCCCCATACGTTGAGGAAAATGGATGCTCTCACTGCAGAACTAATTTACTTGTTTCTTGTTTTCTTTTATGTCATGCAAATTTATCAGTGAAAAGCAGAGGGAAATGTGTTTCAAAATGGTTTTATTTAGGGCTAGATTGTCTGTGTAAAATGACCTGTTTTCACTGGTAGCTTATAAAACCCTCCATTTGTGACCACAGTTTGTAATTTCTCCATATCTTCTATTCTATAAATCCCCTAGCTATAGACCAAAACACTGGTTGGTTTTGTTTTTTTGGACCAGGGATACCATAGGTTTTATTTTATCTTTAGATGTTCTCTGAAAAAAAAAAGTGGATGGGGTGAGTTGGCAGTTGGCAGAAGCAATAAAAGGAAATATAATGGCTTTTCATCCATCAGTTTTACGGGTACTTTCATCTAAAAAAAAAACCCAGGCAGGCTAATAATAGGCTTTAGCAACTTTCTAGTTCTGAAGAACCGTTGTGATATGAGCTGCTCCTTACCATTTATGGAGAGATCACTCTTGTCAACTGTGAAATAGGAGCTGTGTTCAAAGGCATCGTGAAAGGCTGTGATGATGTAGTAGACATCCACATCTTCTGCAATCAGTACCTGGAAACTTACCACTGTGCTCCCATTAGTAATACCAGTTATCAACACTTTAATCAGACCGGCATCCATTTTCAGAAGGAGCTCAGGGGGCAGAGATTTATGTACCTGGAATAAAAAACAAAATATAGATAAGATGGATAGATCGAAACAGCTGCATTTTAGGCTTTGTATAGTGCCCAGAAATGCATATTATGCATTACAACTCTGCTGCTTACTCTGGAGGGCAGTAGCAGAAAAATGATTTTTTGCTTCTTAGCAACATTTCCACTCAACAGCAGCTAAAGGACTTGACATTTGACTGTGGGTATTAAACAAGAAAAATGATTAACCCACCCCATCTATCGTTTGGCCCAGGTACTCACAAAAGCTCCTGCTAACCAGGAGTCTGGTTAAGTCTAACCAGAAGCCACAGGAGAGGGAGCAACACAAGACAAGGAGGTGCAGGTAACGGGGGTGGAGAGGCCTCTTGGCACTCCAGGCTGTGTGTATACCTAGAAAACTCATTCAGGGCACTCAGGCATATCTCACAGCTCAGAGCAGACCACCCTCAGGCTTTCTTCACAAGTGATTTCTCACCAGAGCGGAGCTGATGCACAGAATTCTTCTGCTTATCATTAAGTGTAAACCTGGCTCTTTTTAAGTACTGAGACCAGGGTGAAGACAACAGGAAGGCGGCTCTTTCAGGCTATCAGCATTGCCACACAGCCCAATCTCTTGTCAAGCCTCGGCTCTACCCTCCCCTGAGTTTGGTTTCAGAAATTTTTCACTAAAGTCTTCCCTGAAGAGAGTTATACTAATTCTGCAAATTCTATCTGCCACCTCAACACACACACCACATTCACGGTCCTCCTGGAGAGTCCAAGGGCCAGGCTAGGAAATGACATGCACTGTTTTGCTCTCAAAGTAGTGCAGTGCTAAACCATAGCTGAGTTTAGGGCAGTCTAGAGAAATTGATAAAATTACTATTCACAGCCTGTACGGAGAAGCCTTGGAATTCACTACAAAAGAAAAGCCCACGTTTTTCAAAGCACACACTTGCCCACAGACATGAGCTTTTGTATCACTCTGGGCAGCAGGGTGGTCTGCTTTATACATGACTGGAAAAGAAGACATAGCTCTGCTCTAGGCTTTGCACCAGCAATGCTGCTCAGTCTCGCCACTCCTCTGCCCAGATGGAGACACCAACCTCTCCCAAAGAGATTGAAAAAGCTGGAGCTGAATATTCAGTTTCTCCCTTTCCCATGGCTTTTCCCTCCATGGCTGGGTTCGTTCTGGAGGGCAGACGCGCACAGGAGCATCTCCTCCTCCCACAGGAGGGCAGTTCATGCAGCAAGAGAAGATGCAGATGCAAGCGCCTGAGGGGAATTTCAACAGTTTAAATATTTTCTGCATCATTTCTCTTCATCTCCAGCCCCAGGTCCATCTACAGGAGTAACAAACACAGACCAAAAGGCATCATCTCAGGCAAGATAGAAGGCTAATACTAATTAATCTAGAAAGAGTATGTGGAGATGATGTTTTGCACAGAAATTTTCTCACATCACTGTGAGAAACTCACTGAAAGGGGAAGTTGTTAGACATCCACACATGCTCCCCTAAGTCTGTATCTTTTAAGTGCCCAAACAGGGGTTCTTACAAGACTGTACTGGGCTCCCTGCCTGTCTGGATTCCCCAAGAAAAGCAGAGCACAGGGAGAGGTTTCTCTGCTCGACCTTGCAGACCAGATGCCATGGCGCATGGCAGGGTAAGCACAGGCTGTGTGACACCATCCACCAGCATGGTGAATTTGTCCATGAGAAGTGTATATTTTCTTCTCTCCCTTTCTCCAGGAGACGTTAACAGATCTCCCATGCTTCTTAATATCTTTCCTATAATAAGCTCCTCACCACATGTACATGTATCTGGAAAGTCTTTCTCATTCTTTGAAGCTTACGAAGTGGAACAACAGAAAATATTGGACCAAATTTTCAAGCCTAAAAGGCTGAAACAAAACACCTTCCTCAGCAGGTAGTACTTGTATTTTGTACTTGCAGTATTTTCAGCTATTGATATTACAATTGCAGTGAAAGCCCAGCAAGAGAGGGTCTGCACAGAGAGTTGCTCCTAGCAGGAAAAGACAGACGAATCCCATGACATCCCTGTCATTCTTCCTGAATGATCAGAGCCTGGGACACATGCAACTTTCATGTACATAACAGCCACTATCTTCATTGAAGGACACAGACAGATGGAAACAGAAGGAGAGAAAAAAAAAAAAAAACACTTCCACATGCCCTCCCATCTCTGCCAGGCTCTCTGGGGGTACCAAGAGAGGCAGACACAGAGCAGCAGAGTTGTAAGAGCCAAATGAGCAGCACTTGGCCAGTGATAGCACGTAGCTGCCTTGACTAGGGAAGTCACACACCTTTTCCAGCACCCTGCTCTGCTTTAGACCCTCTCTCTAGGATATACAACTCACTCACTTCTGCCCAGATCGACTTTCCTCAGCTTTTCCTTGTCAGCCACGCTATCCGCCCTGTCAACCAGCCCCGCGGGTCTTGGTCTGCCCTCCTCTCCCTTTCTGCCATTTCATGACCATGTACTGAAAAGTTGTGGGTCAGCTCCAGGCTTTCATCTTTTTTGTCCAAACTTCAAGGTATTAAATACACTTGCAACATTTTCTTAGTCCACCCCCAATTTCACCAGTATTCCCTTTTCATCTTTTTGTTTCTTTTTTTTTCTATATTTGGTTTTATTGATGCTTTGTTTTTACTTTGGGTTTTGAATTTTCTGTTTGGTTTAGTTGTTCCTGTCTTTATGCACATTTTTGCTTACAAAGCATGACTCGAAGCTTGAAAAGCATCTTCAAAAGTACAGCCGCATTACTTGTCACTAGCCACTAGATGACACTACAAAACCCTTTATTCAGAAGGCTATGCGATTTCACAACACGTACCACACCCCGAGTTATCAAAGTAATGGTTGATGAATTATAAAGAGCTCTGGGGTGAGGAAATGAGGAAGAGTGACTTTTTAGAGTAGTTCAATATATAGCATTTCTGAGGTTTTCTTACCAAAAAAAAAAATGGCAGGGGGCATCTGTATTTGTATCCGCAATTCCTGCAGCATAAAAAAAGAGAAAACTAGCAAAACTAAAACTGGGCAAACATGTATGCCAAAGGAAGATCCATGAGAAAGGGAGAAAGCACAGGCAAAACTACTGACATCAAGAGAAGGGAGTGTTCCCTATTAAAGAAAGGAAAATTATGAGTGAGATAGAGTCAAAGTTAAGGGCCAGATGGAAGCCACACTGAAAATGATACACCATTTATAACATTGCATGCAGGGCCAGCAGGTGTTTTGAGTAAGAGGGCAGCAGCAGGCTCCCAGCAGGGCTGGCTGTGGCTTTCTGGGATCACCCATGAGCAGGTCCCGGGCCGGAGGCTCATCAGAGCCTCTGCAGGCCACCTACATGTGCACTGGCCAAGCCTGCAGGGCCAATACAGCAGAAAACCACTGGCCTTCTGGAAACAAGTAAATAAAAGGGACATTAATTTTAACAGAATATCCTGTTAGTCAGAAGGTGAACTGCATCAAACCTCTTTTCCTGCACACAGAGCCCATCCCTGCTCTGCCAGCATCACTAGTGGAAAGGTACCAGCGCACCCATCTGCCCAGCCACCATCACAGCCACCTTTATGGATCTCTTAAGAGAGGGAGAAACTCAGATTAACAAGAGGGACGAACTTCCACTGGAACCGTGAGACTGCCTTAATTCCTCTATCAACATCCATTCCACATTCAAATGTCTTTAATTACATTAATTTAAGTATATTAAGCTACATCAGATGAAGGCTTTGCCAGTTCCAAATGAGGCGGTCACCTTGTGGAGTAAGGCAATATCATTTATTAGTTTAACATTTTTTGTTAATCAATATTTAAGACACTAGAATCCTGAATGATCTCTCCCACTCTGAAATTTAATGCCCTTCAGAGAATGCATTCTCATTCCAAGCCCCTTTTTTTCGCAGTTAATTTAGGGGAGGAAAAGCCTTTGTAGTCATGATATTCTTCTTGGCTGTTGTAAAAGAAAGGCTAAGCTAAACCCAAGGGTAAAATACTCTTCTCACACTTTGCAATATTGTATTTCAGGTGCAGTGTCGGGAGTACGGTGAGACTAGCCTGGAAAATGAGAGTGTAAGTTGTCACATCAAGACTTTTACCTCATGTTCATGCACACTGTATTCCAAGGACAGTATTTCTATTTGCTGTACTGCCAATTTAACCACAAGGCTTTTAAGTACTGGGGCAGTGCTACACTAAAGAACATTATACACAAGAAAACTTAAACGTTTTCGGAATTGTAGATGGTTACACCAAAGACATTTAAGAAAAATCTTTGGCAACATTTCGTTAACTGGATCCAGATATTGCTTTTAAAGCTTGCAAGACTTTCTCTGTCTACCTTAATGGAAACTACTTGTGACCCTTATAAGCTGAAAACAAAAATGTGTAGACCTTTTTCTTTTCCTAAACTTGCTTTTCTTTGGTATTTAGAAATACAATACAAGCCCTATATATAGTGGTTCAGAAATAGATGAAATCAAGACTATGACATGTCTAGCCAGCTGATTCACAAAACCTGTGAGCTGGAAAAAGGATTTACTTCCTTATTGTTCCAAGTGATTTCTTTTTTCTGTCTAAAACTCAGGAACTGTGTAACAATGGCACAAAACATACTTTAGTTGCTTTATCCACATAAAAATACTTTAGCTCCTCTATCTAATAATTTAATATTTGTATCACCAATTTTCTGGATTACAGTATCAGACTGAATAACCTGTGAAAAATAAGTATTTATTTAACCCATTTTAATAACACCCTATTGCCAAATAGCCTCAGGCAGAGAGTGATGTTGAATGAAAGCGAGGTCAATGGAGAACTGCTCCCCTTTCACTCCGCGTAATCTTGTCACTTTCATGTTGTGACTATTTCCATGATGTGACGGCCCAGGGTGGAAGCAACCCTGAGAGCCGTGCTCCACTAACACATCCAGAAGGGTGCAAACGGGTAACACCCAGTCGGAAAGCTACTACACATCCACGGAAATGTTATGCTCAGAAAAAGAGATTATACATTTTTTCTTACAATTTTCTCTCATTTCTTGCTGGCCACAATGTCTTTCATTTTCTGGACTCTGCCTGAACACTGACTGGCATCACTGCATTCCCCATAGACAGCTGTATTTCAGGGACAGACTATAACTCCGCGTACTAAGATGAAACAGATAAGGTCGTAAAGCAGACCAACACAACCAGTGGTTATCTAACCACAGATGTGTGTGTTAAGTAAGCTCCAAAAGATGCAGCAGGAACAAACTCCCAATAAATTCACCAGGAAATTAGAAGAGTAATACTGTCCATGAGAATTATGAGTGTTAAAGCAGGAGCTTTGATACCTTGTGCCCTAATTAGAAGTGATGGCAGAGGTGACTTACCAAGAAACCACGTTAGATTCCCTCTCTAGATACAGGCCTTCAAAAAAAGGATGACTATAAAAGTGTCAGCCTTAAGGTACTATGCAAAATGATAATAACAGACATGCAGTGCATTAATATACCTCCGTGCAGGGTGAGGGTATTGCTAGGGCATTGCAAATATTCATTAACATTCACCACAACCCTGAAGGAAATAGGAAAGACAGTATAACTACATGTGAGCAGTAGAGGAAACAGAGGCATTGGAGAACTCCCAGATCCTTGCCCCACTCAACAGCATGTTGCCTGCACAGACTCATAGCGTCCATGGGACTCAGGACATGCACAGGTGTGTGAGGGGGTACATATATGTCAAGACACCCTTTAAAGGGAAAAACCAAACACATGATTTTATTGAGACCACCAACAGGCTGCATCCTTCTCATCCACTTACTTCATCAACAAAGAGACGTGCAAAGTTTTGATATTCCTTGCTGCTTGTGTTACCAAAGCCCCGAGAGTATTTCACATTTGTTATCCGCACCACTCCATTAAGTTTCTGAATAGCTGCAAGGCAATAAAACGACAATTTAAACACACGCTTCATGGACTACGGGCCGTGCATGACCGTGTGGCAGTCTCTGGCACGCCTGGCTACACAGGGCTCGTTACAAAACAATAGCAGGTCAGCCCCCTCAAATAAAGCCAGGGATAGAAGTGCCTAGGCACAAGCATCCAGCATCTTAGGCTACCTCCTCTGGCCTCCAGATGCTTTTCAAGACGGGCACAAATCTCATTTAGGTCTTATATCTAACACTTTAAGTCTCAGATGCTGTGGAGCATCCCCAACACCACTCTATGGCTGTGATCAGGTGTCTGGCCTCTGTTCCTAGACTCAGCTTGCTGTCCTGGCTCTGCCAATACTCCAGGCAGGGAAACAAGCTCCTGCAGTGGATAAATCATTCCAGGTAGGTTCTCTCTCCAACCTCAGGTGGAGGCTAGATAGCTGCAGACTGGGCATACACATTTCAAATAGCTACTGTTAGGTGTGATGATTTGCTTCAGAAATGAGAAGTATTTCTTGATAATGCAGTTGTTAAAAGAGCAATTGAAAGTGATCATGAAATGGAGGAGAGGGGCTCTCATACTACACTGAAACCAGTGGCATCATTTTAGTGTCTAGCCAAACAAGCTGATTTATATCAACCAACACCTGAACCTTTGCCAGCCTATCATATTTCACACTGCCTTCCAGCTATTAATGGATCATCACCTTTAGCCTTAAGTATCCACCAAGATCTACTCTGGCTTCAATGTTTCTTACAAATAGAAGATGGTTCTTCACCAGAAACTTAAAGGACAGTATGATCTAGCTAAGGGATTCAGTTTTCAGAATTCTTTCAAATCCAGTCTTCACTTTCTGGCATACTTCCTTGCTTTCCTTCATACATATTTCTGTCCTGATCTCAACAGTGTATAGGATACCAGGTTAAAGGCCTGAGACTGTCAGGCTCCTGCACTGAGGTTGTCTCCCACATTACCTGCTTTTACAGAAGCAGCAAGAATTGAAGGGCAGGACTCTGCAAAGACTCTATGCACCACACTACATGAAAGCGGTTTTGGGCCCCACTGGGGAGAATAATTGTGTCAACTGGAACAGGTACTAGAAGAAGAGAAGCTGTCCTGAAGTCAAACTTCGCAGGGGAGAAGAGAAAGTCATGGCCACTTAAAGCAAGCTACTGACAGTTTGCTTTATCCCAAAATGTTTCTGGTCCAGAAGGAACCACCATTGGCCAGAAGGATAGATTTGGCCCTGCTTTCTGCTATGACTAAGGATGAGCTCCAGGTGAGAGGTGTTGCCACAAGGAGGAGCTCTATATTAAACTCACATTTTTGTACTTCGAATTACCTGCTTGGGTTCATGAAGTACCACCATAGTGGCTCTTACTCTTGTTCACCAAGCATAGTTCCTTTGTAGGCCTTTTTCCTAGCAAAAGCTGGGCAAATGTACTTGGCTTAATATTTGATTCATCCATAAAATAAAGCAGATCTATGTATTAATGTGTTCATGTAGAATTCTTCAATTTGTTTCTCAGCTTTAAGAAAATGATCTTCGATATCTGATATCTAAAAGAAGCTACCTCAACTTTTTTAATGAATATTTGTTGTTTTCATTCAGGGAAAAAACAAACAAACAACAACAACAACACAAATATTTCTTTTATTTTTACTCTTCCCTATATCAAAGAGGGGGAAAACACAAAAAGAATCAGTAAATAGAGCTTTTCAGTTGAGGTCAATATTTTACGCAGTCCAAAATGACTTTTTTCCTCCATTTGCCCAGCAAACTCCCAAATCATGCATTTATCTAGCTCTCTTCCTAGATGTCACCAATGCTAAGCAGGGAAGAAAAAAAAAAAGATATATGAAAAGGATATGAAAAAAAGAGAGACAAAAGCAGAAACAGAGGTATCTGCATGACTGCCTAGAGACTACTAGAGCTAGAGAAATGGAAACTATAGCACTGGAAGAGAGGGTGAAGAGGCAGCAGAGATGGTCTCAGGAGGGTGGAAAAGTATTTAGGGAGAAAGGAACTAAAGAGAACCAGAAGGGTGCTGGATAAATGGAGACCCCCAGGAACAGGAGAACCCAGAAGAGAGGAAGAGAACAGAGAAATGGGAGAGTGTAGTTTGTGACTGAAGAGAGGTAGAAGGCACAAGAGCAAAAATAAAGACAAGCAGAAACACAACTGAAACAGGTATCCCTTACCAACACACTAAAGGAACAGTACATTTAGCAAGAGACAGACAGTGACGTTCATATACCAGCCACAGCTATAATTTAAAGACCAAATCTGACTCTAAGCGTGAGGTATGATTCAGCAACAATCAACAGAAAGGTTCCCTAAGTACACTTGCAATATATCTTTCTAAACTGAAATGGATAAAGGCCACTCCATCATCCTTCTTAATCTCAATTAAAGGTCTTCAAAAATGGCTCACATACTTCCTTGCACGTCTTGCCCCTCAGGGGATTTTCTTAGTTCTATCTAATCCTTGCTTAACTGAGGGAATATAAAGGCAGGTTATTTGCTTTCTCTTGTCTCTAAGATATCTCTATGGATTGCTGCTATAGTACCCTGGTGTCACAGCATGCAGGAGAAATCAAGATATGTGACAAAAGGACAAGTAACATTTGATGAGCCATGCTCTGAACACTGTACAATTTGCTTCACCTGTTTTAAGAAGAGGAAATGTATCATCAATAGAACTACTGTCAAATACCAGAACATCAGAATATTTTGGCATGCTGATTTAGGGGGAAAAAAAAAAAGTGCCAATTCCTGCAAGAAAGTATATCTTACAAAAACTAATTTTAGTTGCCTTCATTCCAGACCATCAATTACAACACTCATGCATCCTTCTGGCATTTGAGTGAGGTTTGGCTTATCGTGCTTTTGCATTACCGTGCATGCAGGCCTCTGCTGGGCACATACTCACTCTGGTCCATGTCTGGGCCTCGCGTTGGGCTGGATGCCTGAGAGAAGTCTGGCAAAGCTGGTGACCTCTGGACTGCAAAATATTTCTCAGATGAAGAGCTGTTCTTTCTCTCCATCTCTAAGCTCATTTTGAGAGTGGTATTGAGAGTGGTATTGAGAGTGAGAACTCCAGCACCTCCTGTGACCAGCAGAGCTGTGCTGGTGCCATCCTGAGACACACCAACAACTTGATGTCTCTCTGTAATAGCGGAGGTCGTTTGGTTTGGTGATACCAGCAATGCCGAACCGAGCAGCGTCGTCCCAGCCGTTCCTTTGGTGGGACCTGTGAGAGCAGCGTCTCGATGCGGCGCACCAGCGGACGCCAGACTCCTGTGGCAGC